TTGCCACTCAGTTTAGTAAAGTGATTGGAAATGAGCTCTTGTGGAAAAAATGACAGTTCTGTTATGTAATGAAGCCCATTACGCATGGAGCAAACCTTTCAAAGTCACATGTAATGGGAACCGTGGGCTTTTCTGATTAACTCACTCATTTTCATGGTGACTCATGGTGGGCAGAGTCACTTCCGTGTGGCACAGATTTCTGGGGTGAGGGCGCCAGCAGCCAAGGCAGTGCCCGGCTTCCTTCGTGAGCCCCCCAGGCTCCGTCCCTTCTCTGTGAAGCAGGGTTCTCCATCCCAAGAGGGGACAGACATGCCCCCTAGCACCCGGCCCTCTCCCCTGACCCCTCGGTCCCTTGCTGCTCCCTCTTGGGCCAGCCTGGACTTCCTGTGGCCCCAGGGTCTCCCGCACCTAGGCTGGACGGTGCATGTGGAGAGGAGGCCGCTGGCCCAGCTCTGCAGGACATGCCGACCAGAGACACAAGGAGGGTGTGTAGGGGCTGTCGACAGTCCAAGCCTGTCTCCCGGGTTTCCCACTTTGCCTGGAATCCCACGGCTTTCCAGGGCGACCCTCAGCAAGCCCAAGACAGGCCTCTTTTCAGGGACTTAAGAAAAGGAGTTCTGCTGACACAGCTTCTAAGCATCCGGCTACCGACCGAAAGGTCAGTGGTGCGAACCCACCAGGCGCTCCGTGGGAGATAGATGATGCAGTCCGCTTCTGTAAAGACATACAGCCTTGGAGACCCTGTGGGCAGTTCCACTCTGTCCTCTAGGGGCGCTGTGGGTCAGAATTGAGTCTGTGGCAGTGTTTTTATTTTTTATTTTAGAAGAAAAGTCAAGTTTTTAACCCAGGAATTTTCCTTCCCTGCTGTTCTCACCTTTTTCATGCTCACACTCTCACAAAACAACTCTAAACAATAAAAAAAATCTTTCCTGAACATCAAGCAGTAAGAAAATGCTACTGGCCAGAAGTATTCAAAACAGCAGCTCTGTAACCGTCCGTGTTTCTAACAAGCTTGGAAGAAAACAAATCAGCTGAATCCCAGTTGCTTCCTGATGGGTAGACTTTGAAAGCATGTCTCTGTGAGAGGTGCAGCTGAGAAGGAATGAAAATAAACAGATCCCCAGCATTCATCTTAGTTCTCCTGGTTTTACGCCCAGGAGGTGGTGGCCCCAGGAGGTGGTGGTCCCCGGAGGTGGTGGCCCCAGGAGGTGGTGGCCCCAGGAGGTGGTGGTCCCCGGAGGTGGTGGCCCCAGGAGGTGGTGGCCCCAGGAGGTGGTGGTCTAGGAGGTGGTGGCCCCAGGCACCCATGGCTCTCCCGCTGTTTCTCTCACCCCTCCTGTCCACAGGCCACCTGTCTCTAGTTGGGACTCTAGCATGAGCTCACACAATGGCCCGATTGGCTCCATGGCAGCCCTTTATTGGAAATCCTATAACCCAGTTTATATCCAGTTGACAATGTAATTTACTTGGCTCTGGTAAAGTCACAAAACTTTCAACCCTAAATCTGAATCTGGCAGGTAGACCTGGTGTGGAGGGGACAGGCACCCCACCCCCCACCTCCAGGTCAAGTCCTGCTGCAAGGACACTGCTAGATGATCAGCACCCAGTTGGATCTTTTCCCCCAGAATTTATGACTCACAATTCATCCATCCAAACACCCATCCATCCATCCAAATATACATTCACCCGTCTGTCCATCCATCCATCCATCCATCCATCCACCCATGCCTCCCTCCACCCACCCACACGTCCATCCATTTGACAGATACCTACAGAGTACCTGTCCTAGCTTGGAGAGTACAGTCATTAAAAAGGACAATTTACTGCTCTGGAGAATATATTTTAAAGGGGAGAGGCCAACAATGAACTCATTTTCAGATGAACACCATAATTTCAGGTAGTAACAAGTGCTAGGAAGAAAAACTGGGCAATGTCATAGAGCATGTGGTCACACGTGGGTCTCACTGATGCAATGTGTGTGATACACAGCAGGTCCTCCGTAACTGGCACAATCGTCATGACTTTCACCTCCAGGAACCCTTCGGAAGCCTGTCTCTGCCCAGAGGCTGGAAGGGGCAAGAGACCTGTTTCAGGGAAGGGTGTCCTTTAAGGGCAAGCCTGTACTCAGAGGCTGCTGGAGGAGGAAGAGATGATGGGCCCAGGGCTGGAGGGGAGATGGGGACCTTTGTGAGACTTGCTGACAAAGGCCAGTCCATGAGAGCAGAAGAGGAAACCGAGGCAAGCTGAATAATCTGATCCTATAAAGTTCAAACGGGAGCAGTGAGGCCGATGGTGCTAAGGCCTCACACACCTGTGTGCGTATCACCAGAAGCCAAGATGCTATTATTTACGATCTATCGTGGCATTTGAAATCCAACCTCCCTAGAGAAGTACGTACCTTCAAGGCAGTTGCATCATTACTGGAGCCCCAACTTGTGTGTGACCCAGGTGGTGGGGAAACAGAGATGGGTGCCTCCATAAGTCACCAGTGGGCGTGGGATAAGTTTACGAGCCTTGCTCATTTTACGACTTTTTCAGCATCTTATTACATCAACCGTCAGAGAATTTCCCTTTGTCCCTGTCTCCATGCCTTTTTCCTCTTGGAAGCTCAACTCAAATTTTATGGGGCAAGTCAGTAAAAAATACTGAAAATCAATGAATAGGCAACTTTCCAAAGCACGTCTGTTCCCAGCATCCCTGGGTGGGTCCTGGCTACCACCATGCGGCAGTTCTTTATGGAGGAAGGGGCTTTCTTTGTGTCTCCACACACCGTCTCTCTGAAGGGCCCACTGTGACAACCTTACGTGACCTGTGCTTCCTCATGACCCTTGGGGAAGGACCAGAGGGGAAGCCACGACCAGTGCTGCTGCGTCTGCCACCGAAATGCTTTGTGTGGCTACTGAGCTTGGAGTCGAGGCGTGGCCTGGCTTTGCTCACAAGGGCAATCCAACGACTGCTGGCTTACGTCCAGCGCACTGATTCTGTACATTGCTCGGTGACCCTTTCCCGGCGTCCTTTCTTACAACAGGTTTCAAGAAGCTTCTCTTGGCTGTGTCACCTGATGAACTAAACACTCTGCTTTCCTTTCAGGACTTGATTCCAGCTGGGTATTACAGGCTTTCCGGGTTGGCTGGTTGTCCGGCCACACTGGCTGCACAGAGCTCAGATGCCCCTCTCTGGAGAGCTAGTGCCTGGGAAAGGCACCAGCCGGGAAGGCTCTGAACGGCGTCCAGGGTGTGGAGGCGGTTGGGGAGCCAGCCCAGGCTGCCGGGAGGACGGAGGTCAGAGAGCTGGCAGAGAAGCAGGAATGTGTCTTCTTGAAGCTGCTCCACTCCACAAACATCTCTGGAATGTTCTCTGAGCCTCGAGTGCTGCAGTGGAATTGTGGGTGAAACACGGATCACTGCTGCTGCCAGCTCGAAGCTGGGCTCACAGGGCGCCACGCTGGGTTCACAGGGCGCCACGCTGGGCTCACAGGGTGCCACGCTGGGCACTCAGGGTGCCACGATGGGTGCTCAGGGCGCCACGCTGGGCTCACAGGGCGCCACGCTGGGCACTCAGGGCGCCACGATGGGTGCTCAGGGCGCCACGCTGGGCTCACAGGGCACCATGCTGGGCTCACAGGGCGCCACCCTGGGTTCACAGGGCACCACACTGGGCTCACAGGGCGCCACGATGGGCACTCAGGGCGCCACGCTGGGTGCTCAGGGCGCCACGCTGGGTGCTCAGGGTGCCTCACTAGGCTCTCAGGGCGCCACGCTGGGCTCACAGGGCACCACCCTGGGTTCACAGGGCACCACGCTGGGCTCACAGGGCACCACGCTGGGTGCTCAGGGCGCCACGCTGGGTGCTCAGGGCGCCTCACTAGGCTCTTAGGGCATCATGCTGGGCTCACAGGGCACCACCCTGGGTTCACAGGGCACCACGCTGGGCTCACAGGGCACCACCCTGGGTGCTCAGGGCGCCACGCTGGGTGCTCAGGGCGCCTCACTAGGCTCTTAGGGCATCATGCTGGGCTCACAGGGCGCCTTGCTGGGCTCAGTCCTCACTCCTCCTGTGAGTCTCAGCCAGTGTCTGTGTCCTCAATCTCAGGGTGGCTGGAGGGGGTGTCGTGGGGGGTGTGGGGGCAGCCGGGGGGCCTCCTGAGGGTCCTTCCAGCCACATCTCCCCTTAATTGTTTTGTGGAATCACATCGCATAATATGGAGAAAAATACACAATGAGCCTCAAGACGCTGAGCCGAGGGCCCAGAAGACAACACCTCCTCATTGCTGTTGTTGTTGTTATGTGCCGTCAAGTCGGCCCCGACTCATAGCGACCCCTCCCTGGGTTTCCGAGGCGGTATCACTACGGAAGTAGGATTGCCCAACCTTCCTTCCAAGGAGTGGCTGGTGGGTTTGAACCGCCAGCCTTCTGGTTAGCAGCCAAGTGCCTTAGGCACTATGCTACCAGAGCTCCTAAGCCACCTGAAAAATGGTGACACACTGGCCCATGGAGGAGCTCTGGTGGCGTAGTGCCTGAAGCATTTGACTGCTAACCAGAAGGCTGGCAGTTCAACCTACCAGCCACTCCTCAGAAGGAAGGTTGGGCAATCTACTTCCATAGTGATACCGCCTCGGAAACCCAAGGAGGGGTCGCTATGAGTCGGGTCCGACTCGACGGCAGTGAGCACTGGTCCACAGGTCAAAACGACGACCCTTGGAGTTGACGGTCCCTGACACAGCTGACCACCTGCCAAGTCCCCACGGCACCATGGGACTGTGATTAGGATGCCTTTTCTGCATCCTCAGCAGCCGCCCCCCACTCAGCACCCCCTTCTCCAACATCAGCAAACACTGCTGGCCCCTGGGGGTGGGGGCCATGGGCTCTGCCTGAAGGAGGGGCCTTTGGGGACCAGGAGGGCAGGAAGCTTTCTCCAACAAGCTGGTTTTGCTCCCTGAAATGTATCGGTACTGGGTTTTTCTCCAGAAGTGTGCGTGGAGGTAGCCTTCTGAGAGCGTCATGTCTGAAAGTGTCAGTTGTGACCTCAAAGCTCAAGGCTGTCTCTTCTCTGCAGAGGGTCCCAGCCCCCCGGTTATGAGGCGCGACGCTGGCTTGTGCATGGGGGCTGTGCCTGCCATCTTCCGTCGAGCACCCCGGGTACCCAGGTGGGCGGAGGTAGTGAGGGCTGAGAGCGTTTCTGAGAGAGAACGAGAGAGTGGTACCCAGCCCAGTCCCAGTGGTTGGGCCCCAGCTCCTGGCCTTGGTGCCCTCCCTGCCCACGCTCTGCAGGAGCCGGTCCTACTCTGTAACCAGGCAGGCGGACCCCACTGCAGCTGATTTAGGGAAGTCTTCTGGGTGGGTGACTTGAGGGAGCATCCCTGACCCTTGAGGTTCAAGCCCCACTGAACTGGAGCAGGGGGAGCGGGGAGCTGGAGGCTGGGGGTCCTGCCAGCCCCGGCCACTGTGTGACCTGAGGTACCACCTCTTCCTCTTCCGGGGCCCGCCAGAAGAACGGGGGTGGGCTCTGTGACCGTGTCCTCCCCCCAGATGCCTTTGCTCATGAACCGAACGTGTAAGGCGTAGGCCCGGGGCCTGCGGATTGATTTTCTTCTCCCCAGCCCCCACCACCCTATGAAGGCAGTGCCTCCTTCAAGACAGACAGTGAGCACAGCACACGGAGAAGCCGACCATTACACATGCTGGGCAGGCTGGTGGGGTCGAGGCACTGTGGCCTCTGCCCAGCACGCCCGCCGCCCCGGGGAGCGGGACGCCCCTGTCTGTCTTCTCCCTGACAGCCCTGCATGATGAATGTCGCATTTGTGGTCAAGAAACAGCTTTGAATATTCATTGTCATGTAACCTGTGCATTTGGAAGGAAGAGCCAAACCAAAGCTGAGCGGAAACGTCTGAGCCCGCGGCTCAAAAGCTCATGCGGGCAGCCCGTGCTCCCAACGTCCACTTGGTCAGGACCGCACCAGAGGTCGGAGCCACCCCAGGCACCGGGGCTAAGCCAATACAGCATTGCACAGACAGACCCCAAAGCTCTGGATAGTGGACACGCTTCCTCCACTGCCCTCCTGACTGCCAGGGGCCAGCACTGAGGACAGGGCTCAGTGCCAGGGCCGCCACTGGACCCACAGAGGGCCCACGAGGCCACCAGGGACACCACTTCTTCTTTGCCCCTCAGGTCCAGACCCAAGCTCCTGGCGAGCAGCTGGGTGCATGGGGGTGGTATTTCTTACCTGGCCTGCACCCATCCCTTTCCCACCCTCGAGGAAGGGGCTCAGATGTGTTACCCCGTGGCTCTGTCTACAGACCTACAGCTGGAGAGAATCGGGGTGCAGACAGGGTGAAGCAAACCCTATGTCTTCAGGTGGTGAGGACGAGAGCAGGGAGTCTGCCCACCTGGCTGCCATCCCGGTGTGGGCAGGGCCTCGCGGCGACAAATAAATGTTCCCAGGAACTCAGGGACACTGGACACCAGCAGCCCCAGTTGGCAAAGATTTCAGACTTACTGTTGGCCAATGGCCCCCCCTGGTGGCCTCTTCAGGTCACTTTGGGCTCCTGTGCCTGCCCTCCTCCTCACACCTCCGACCCCAAAACAAACCAGCCACCAGTGCATTCTGGCTTCTCTGGTTCCGGTTCCGGGTCGCACTCCATGCCAGGGCGTGGGTGGCACGCCCAAGTTCAGCCCAAGACAGCCCCATCTGCAAGCAAGGTTGTGTCATCTGCTTATGGCAGGTTGTCAATGAGTCTTCTTGTAACCTGATGCCATGCTTTTCCTCGCCATAGTCCAGCTTCTCAAATTATCCACTCAGCACGCAGATTGAATAAGTGTGGTGAAAGGGTACAGCCCTGACACACTCCCTTCCTGATTTTAAACCACTCAGTGTCTTCCTTGTTCTGTCTCAACTACAGCCACATGAGCACAGTTCAGTGTTCCAGAGTTTCCATTCTTCACAGTGTTACCCAGAGTTTGTTATGATCCACAAAGTCGAATACCTTTGCTTAGTCAACAAAACACAGGTAAGCATCTTTCTGGTATTCTCCACTTTCAGCCAAGATCCATCTGACATCAGCAATGATATCCATCCCTCGTTCCATATCCTCTTCTCAATACATCTTGATTGCAGGTCTGGTCAATTTCAGGCTGCAGAAGTTGGTAAAAATCTTTAAATCTGAGTAATAGTCATATTAACAGATCTTCCTCGTAGGTGTATGGATATTATCCTATCACTGACACCATTGCACTTCAGGACAGATCTCGAAATGTCCTTTTTGATGATGAATGTGATTCCATTCCTCTTCAGTTTGTCATTCCTGGCATGGTAGACCAGATGACCACCCAATTCAAAATGGCCAACACCAGTCCACTTCAGCTCACTAATGCCTAGGATAGAATTCTATGGTAGGCCTACAGCCTACATTAAGGGATCTATGTATTCCATTTCATTTTTGACAACTTCCTGTTTTCCTACGTCCCTACTTCATATATGCCATGTTCCTATCATTAATGGATGTTTGCAGCTGTTTCTTCTCATTTTGAGTCATGCTCCATCAGCAGATGGAGGTCCCGAGAGCTTTATTCCCTCTGCATCATTAAGGTTGACTCTACTCTGAGGAGGCAGATCTTCCCCAGCCGTATTTTGAGTGCCTTCCGACCGGAGGGGCTCATCCCCCAGCACTGCATCAATGGTCTGCAGCCCACCATAAGGTTTTCAGTGGCCAGTTTTTCCGAAGTAGACTGCCAGGTCCTCCTTCCTGGTCTCTCTCACCCTGGAAGCTCCACTGACCCCTGCCCACCGTGGGTGACTGCTGGCTTTAAAGTCCCTGCAGTGTAGCCTCCAGCCTCACAGCAACACGCAAGCCACCACAGTGAACACTGATAGATGGGTGGTGCAATGCCCGGTCCCCCACACAATTGACAAGGGAACACTTCTGTTTATCAAGCTTTATTATTTGGAAAACCTTTAAGAAAGATGTTGCTGAAGTGACTGAAAGTGGGATACCTCTTTTCACCAACTAGTGCAATTGTCAGGAGAAAACTGGCAAGTGGCGTTGGCAGGATGTGGAGGAGCGGGTAGGGGGAAATCACTGCTCACAGGCCTCCCAGCATGGCCCTGACCCCACTGTGCCAGGGAGACTGAAACGGTGCAGCTGCTGTGGATACCAGTCCAGGGTCCCCTCCCACTGAGCACAGTCACCAGGGAACCTGTGCACTCCCAGAGACAAGCTGCATGTCCGCCACACAAAACGTGTCTGTGAGTGTTCACTGCCGCACACTTCCCTGCAGCCAGATGGGTGACCAGGTAGACGTAAAATGGACGGTTAGGTGCTACCAAAAGGCACACAGTACTGATCCATGCTGCGACACGGTGAATCCTGAAAACATGAGGCCACATGGAAGAAGTCAGACACGAAAGGACACACAATATGTGACTCCACTTACAGAAATGTGCATTAAGGCAGGTCTAGAGACAAAGCAACTCGTGGTTGCGGATGGCTGGGTGGGGAAGGAATCGGGCCATAGTGAAAGGGTGCGGGTTCCATTCTGAGGTTCTGCGGCGACCCCCCAACTCTGGAACTGTACCCACTGGGCAGTAGGCTTGGAATGGATGAGTTGTGTGGTATGTGACCTGTAGCTCCATAAAGCTGTTAGAAGGATGCGTATCATCTGCTGATCTAAGCTGCATGGACATCTGAAAGGCAAGTGCTGTTCCCCATGTTCCAGGAAAGGGCGTCAGGAATGCAGTGGGGGCGGCCCCTCCCCTGGGCCCAACTCAGTCATTAGAACCAAACATTCCCACATCTGTGCTCTTGAGAGAGTCTCTGGGGAGCAGGGAGGGGAGGAAATGGAAACACAGGAGATAGTCCTTGTTGGAAGCCTGCCTTCAGTGTGCTGGTCTTTGTGAGTCTAAGTTCTTCACGACAAGAGCTGTGTTTTGAACTCTTCCAAGGATCTCCCTGTAGGGCCAGGATGGTTCGACCTTGCTGTGGTGGGCTTACATGGCATCGGACACTCTCCCAATAGACACTGTGGAGCTGGCACATGGAGGTGACCCTGGTGGGAGCACAGGCATCGCTCCATCAAGGGAAGTCTGTGCCTCTCCCGTGTTAGCTGCTGCTAGAGCAGCCGAAGGTGGTCTCCTCTCAAGGTCAGAGGCAGCTGTCGCCCCGCCCCTCCTGACAGGCCTCCTGGTCTTGGTTCAGGAGGTTTGAAGGCATATGTGGAAGTCATGCATGACCACACAGGGAGAGACTGGACAAGAACAAATCCTAGGTGTCCAGGGGCACTGGCACATGACTCAGAGCATGGGAGCCAGGCAGCGCTGGGGCTCATGTGACAGGACCGGGGAAGAGGGCACAGGAGACCCACCTGAATTAATCCAAGTATATTTTTACGTGGTACTTAATGGTAAAGCAACCCAGGTTCTGTTGCATCAACGTCGACTCATGGCAACCCCACATGTGCAGAACAGAACTGCTCCATAGGGTCACAAGGCTGTAACTGGGATGGTTAACGCTATGTGTCAACTTGGCCAGACCATGATTACCAGCAGTGTGTGGCGGCCCTCTATTTAGTGATCTGATGAAATCGTCCTCCATATTGTAAGCAGAGCTTCCAACCAGTTCATTCTGGTTTGAGCCCCTACTGAGAATTTGCATTTCCACCCCAGATACTGAATCATACTCTGCATTTGAACCTGATCCCCTGTTTGGGGAGTTGAACCAGAATGAATTGGTTGTAAATCTTAACCTCTATATGTTAATGGGCCCTGTGCTGACATAATGCCTAAGGCATTTGACTGCTAACCAGAAGGCTGGCAGTTCAAACCCACCAGCCACTCCTCGGAAGGAAGATTGGGCAATCCACTTCCCTAGAGATATCTACCACCTCGGAAACCCAAGGAGGGGTCGCTATGAACCTGCTCCGACTCCATAGCAGTGAGTTTGGTTTTGTTGTATGTTAATGGGGCAGGATTAGTGTGGGATGTGCCTTGAGTCACAGCCTTATAAGAAGTTGTGACTCAAGTGTCACCCTTACTCAAGTCACACCCTTACTGTAACATAAGAGGAGTTTCCTTAGGGGTGTGACTTGCATCCAATATTCATATGGATGCTCTGGCAAGGCTCTGGGCGACTGCATCTGGACTACTT